TTCATATGCCAACCTCGAAGCCTGTGAGTGTGTCTGTCTCTGTATGTGTATCTGTATGTGCCTGTTTATATTCACTTATGCACGAAACCAGTCGTGATGGCTCAAATTAGTTAGGACAGCATAAGTAAAAATACGACTGGAATTGACCAAATCACTTTAAACCTCATCATAAAGGCCATATGTAGATACCGCAGACATACCATTGTCAGCAAAACGAGAAGTTTGAGACCATTCAATCTCGTGTCCCGTTTATGGCCTATGCTCAGCCAGCTCTGAGTGGTGAACCCAACAGCTTCTACACACGCTTTTGTGCTCAGCCACCCTTTGTCGAATGGAACAACAAGACTCTCCAACATAAAAGTGACCACCTAAACGCATTATGTTGTAGCAACCCGATCTGGATAATGGGCCAATATTCCGTCTAAAAGTGGGAATAAAGTGTCGTGGTTTCCATGAAAACCGTTTTTCTTCACTCGTTAGCTTCAATTTAGTTGTAACGGTGATACCTTGCTCAGATGATGTTCAGACGAAAGCTTAGCATCTTTACACCGGAATCGAAGGATGTTACCTCGGAAACAGCGTCAGCATGATTGTTCCAGTAAAGCCAATCGACAGCTGGTCAAGAAGAATTCGCCGTCGTTGTCTATTGGAATCGAACTTCGAATCTCTTTATCAAACACTTTCGCTCGAAATGAAAGTAAGCTCAACATATCTAATAGATTGCCTGAAGAGGTAAAGAATAATATTTAGCCGGGGGTGATCTCTCATTTTGATTATTTAAACCCTCCAAAGAAAGCTTGTGATCTGATTAGGGTTTCTCGATATTTAAGTCGCAACAATCTAAGTGTTATGAAAGCTGACAAAGGTGGAGCAGTGGTAGTCACGGCTAGGTCAAGTTATGTAGAAAACAATGCTCCTTCATGTAAATGCTACTGATACATACATGCCTTAAATGAAAGGTCCAACAGAAAGGCTTAAGAGACATTCACTCTATTTCATTTATCGTGATGAAGGACTGGTAGGTGAATTTTCCAATAATCATATGAACAGATATTATGTAACCTTTGACTGCAGATTCGACCTCGTATAGGTCGAAAAATCATTGAACGAAGTAGGACAAACACATCTCATATATCTGATTTACTAGTAGTCTCGAAAACCTAGTCATTTACAAAAAAAGAAATGTCGTCGATTGCTATGGCAATTATAAGTTTGCTTCATCGACAATCCTAACACAGAAGGTGATATGGAAAATGGCTGACATTCCTTAAAATTCACATCTGCCCTGTAACCCAATTGCACTCGTGGCAATGTTGCGAAGTGGTTAACGTGTCGAGCTCACACGTTGCACTGCCATGGTTCGAGTCCCGCTGGGGTGTTGATAAGACCTAGGCGAGGTCGAAACTGCAGTCCACGTCAGCCTGGATTAGAACAGCTTTTAGGAATGAAAGATTATGTGAAATTCAATGGAACTGTCAGCTCTATCCATATCATTGTAGGAAAATTCAAGTACCAGTCCTTCATCACATTAAACGAAATAGGGTGAACACAACTCATATAAAGTACAGCTTTGATTAGAGAGCACTCTAATGCATGATACTATATCACAGATAAATGCGATTAATTATAGTCAAAAGTAATGTTGTCAATGGCATTTCAATGGATGAGGGCTAGTGAAAGGTTGACAATTAATTTGTCCTATATTGATACAAGTAGGCCTCACATCAACAATGTATTTCTTAAACGATCTAGGCTGACAACTGTTCTTATTTAAGATGTACTGATAGTATAGAGGCCTACATATTATAAAGATAATTCCATTTAATGTAATTTAATCTAACGTGAACGTAAACATTTGCCTGCGGTGTGTTGAAGTGTACAGCTTTTTGTTATCCATTACAGTGTAGAGCAATTTCGATGCAAGGTGACATGTTATTTGGTGTTACCGTGTGGGGAGATAACGTTTGAAATGAGACCAAAAGGTGTGCGAGAAGGCCACACTAAAATCTCTTGCCTTGATTATATCAGTGTTACCATCGGCTTCTATTGACTCGAAAATCGCTTTCTCCTCTTCTGGTGTCAAGGTGGAGGTGTAGAAGGGAAGCACCTTTTCCTCTTCTGTCTCGAGGCCGCGGCAACGTTCCGCCAATTTGAGGATGGACTCGGCCAGTTCAAGCAAACTCTGTACCTACACCGGCAAAGGGAACAGTTTTTAGTCGAAGAATATGATTGAAGTTGTATGACTCTTAAACACTTGTCTGTAAGTGTTGCTCAGGCAAACTCGGAAAAAACTAATTTAAACAAACTTTTTTGGAGAATAGCTCGATTCATCCACTTTTTTATGGGCGTTAGTAAATGTATACACGAAAAAAAAGACAAAACCGAATACTCATACTGAATTCGTAGTCCTAACGAGCCAGTTGTGCCGTCAGAAAGGTCTCAAGTGAAAAAGAATTATAAACCATTTTGAGTGGAATCACTTCATAAAACTGTATGAAGAACAAGATTTGTGGCCTCTATCTTGGTCAAGTCTCCTTTCGATGTATAAAAGTGGCCCGACTTAGTTCTTGCAACTTGGTCTTTTTGTCAGGGTGATTTAGTTGAACACACCTTATTCAAATTCTTCTGCTATATTAGTCGTCATAATTCCAAATGTCGTACCGTGGAATTGGTACATTCCCAGACGTTTCGCCGGCATCATCAGTGAGTCCTGCTCTTCTCAGCTCCAAGCTACAACTCGTCAAAGAGACTTGTCTCTGACAGGCCAGCGAAACATCTAAGAATGTACCAAATCGACGGTAAAACGCTAGCAATTATGATAACTAGTATAGCAGAGGACTTCGGACACGGTGCGACCAACTAAGTCGCCATGACAACATGACCAAGTTGCAAAAATGAGATCAGACCACTTC